TAAATACAAACCCCTAGAAAGGTTCACCCGTCAAAATCACCGGAGTTGGACGTTTCGGACGTAACAAATTTCAAATCGCAAATGATAAGAGGAAAGGAAAAAAAAAACTAAAAAAGGAAAAAAGAAAATATGGAAAAAAATAATAATAAAATAAAGGACTTGGTGCGGTTATAAAAAAAAGAAGCAGACGGTGAATGTCAGTAACTTTAGCAAACGAAAGAGGGACAAAAGCGTAAATTCCCAGGATAAATCCAAGAAAATTTGAAAAAGAGAGAAGAATGGTAGGTTTAAATCGAATCCGAAACGTCGATACGTCGGAATCGGATCCAGAGGCGGCGGACGATGCGGCGGTGACTGATGAAACTACGGCCAGATTTACGAACCGACGGCGTTCCGGACAATCGCCGCCGTAGACGGCGGATGGAAAAAGGAGAAACTAAGTTCTAGGGTTGAGATTTATATGAAGAGAGAGATTGAGAGGGCGAGAGGAAGAAAGAAGGAGAGAAGAAGAGAGGGAAAAATCTGAAAATATATATGGGGGTGGAGGAGAGAATGAGGCGAACTGGTGGTTCCTGAATATATTTGGTAGAAACCTATGAAAATAACCCTCTTGTTCGGAGAGAATTACTTTAATGCCATTGGTTGTGCGAAATGACACCCGTGCCCCTCTACGTCGTCGTTTCGCGCTTTCGTGGAGGAAAATACGATTCCTACTTTCCTAGCCACAAAGTGGTAACATTCTAAATTTTTTAGCTCTTTTTTTTGGAACGAAATTTTCTGTTTAGAATAATACTTTAACAAATATAAATGATATATTCTGTATTTATGTAATATAGAAAAATAGAGATACATGTATATATAATTCTTTAAGAAGAAAAACGCGCCAACGCACTTTTATGGCAAATTAATCGTTTGGAATGAATTAAATGAGCTATGAAATAAAAAGGCAAGCATGCATTACATAAATGACTGAAATATTATTAGATATACAATCTATGAAATAAAAAATCAATCACGCATTACATAAATATGAAAATGTATTTTTTTAATACAACAAATAGGGTGGGGATTCGAAATCATGACCTTAGTTAGATATTAGTGCCAATTACCACTGAATTAAGCTCATGTTAGTATGAAAAAGGTATTTATTTGTATTAAGAAAGCTATATATATGAATTAAATTTATCCAACCCGTTAATTTAAGTTTTTGGATTAAGTGGTTGTTTATTAATCTTTAACAATTTTGATGAAAAATCTAAATACGCCCAAATTCAATAAGAAGAAAAAAAATCAAATATGTCCCTCAAACTCGTAACATCCATAGTTTGTGGATATTTGGGACCGAGTCTTTAATTTCATTATCTAGGGATACAAACGATAAATCAACTCCTACATTAAGAAATCAAAAAAGAGTAATGGCAAATTAATGGGTAAACAGTATCAATATTTATATTCATGGGTTCTATCGTCTCAAAATCAATTACTAATGAGAGGAGTAGTCTACTTATATTATAAACCTTTGTTAATTAGGTCATTTATTTCTTCAATATGAGATCCTTAGCTTATGATGAAATGAGTACTAGTCTAATTGAGTAGGGAAAAGCTGGGTTTATCCCTGTGTTCAAGCTTCTACCGACTAAGGTAGAGGATGGATCAAACTTAAGCGACGTAATTAGAGATTTGAAGAGGATTGTTGAACTCATTTGGATGCATGTCCTATAATTTTACAAGTAAATCGAAAGTGCAAGTGACCAAGCTCATTTGAATTTCAATGGTGACTCTCCATGTATAGATAGAAAATTGGCAAGATGATGTTAATTTTTAGTGCAAGAATGATATTTTTCTTTTGTTGACATCTCTTAATTTATACGTGAGTAAGTCAATTATTAATAATAAATACAAAATGACGTGACGAATTAATACATGATTTGAGTTCAAAGTTTGCAACTAGACTCGATATATTTTAATTCAAATATTTGATCTATCATATAACTACTCTGGAACAAGTTAAGTTATCATAGTTTAGAGCTCATATGGTATATAATTATTTTTCATATTATAATGACTAAAAAGCTACTTTCCATAAAATCTATTTGGTGTTTTCGTGTGTATTGATTTTTGAAATCAATCTTTACAAGGTAAGGTATTTATGACTTGTCATCCCTTGTTAAGGAAGACTTCTGGTGCAGGAAAATAATCAAATCTAAATGTATTTCTAAATTAAGAACTGTAAATGAAAAAGTATGAGAGATTTACATAATTGGTGCGTCAACAACAAAGAGGTTATCACTCACTTAGATGTAGGGAAGAACCAGACAAGGTTTATCGTTTGAAAGATTCCTGATAATTAATTTGATAAGTCATGCAAAGTCGATCGACTCATCTTTCATACTTCGACTGACCTTTTCAAAGGTCACTCACCTAGATGAACTGAAGAACTAGGCGAGGTTTATCGTTCGAAAGATTCCTGATAATTAACTTGGTAAGCCATACCGAACCGACTCATCTTTCATACCTCGACCAAACTTTTGAAAGGATAAACGACCTTGAAGAGCATCTGCAGGTGTAAATACTTAACAAAATCTTAAACAACACGCCACCTCTTTCGCCAAGTACGCTGTCGGAAGCTCATTTCTATAAATAGAGATCCCCGCCTCTTTTCACTAGGTACACAAAACTATATTCTCTCTTGGATATAGATGAGATATGTATTGACTTGAACGTTTGAGTGTGCACCCTATTTTGCCGGTCTAATTATTGTCAGCATCATCTATCGGCATCATCTATCGGCATCATCTGTCTAAACTTTACCATTTCTTGATCAAACAATATATAAATTGAAATACCAAGCCAATGCAATAAAATATTTATTTAAAGGTGACGGTTCAACCAATAAATTAAGTTGATTTAGATCGATTGTAATTTTATTTAAAAAAGAGAATTCAGCTTGGTCTTTTCTTTAAAATACTCTTATAGTTATACCATTAGCCAAATTTGAAAAAATAATCATAATAATTTAAAATTTGATAAGAATTTTATAACTAATTTAAAAATAGGCAAGAAAAAAAATAGTGACTAAAAGCTAAAAACAGAATTTCTCACGAACTTTTATTTTGTCCAAATAAGGAAAATGAGGAGGAAAAAAAATGAAGGTTTCATGATCACACCAAACACGCTAACATGCATGATATTGTGATATACCAAACAAATAATTTTTAATGATTTTATTGGCATAAAAAAGCACTTAAATTAATGGGTCTTTTTTAATAATGAAACGCAGTTCCTTTTCTTTAAAAATAAAATAAAATAACTCAAAACAAACAAAATTACATCAGAAAATGAAAACCCTTCCAAGGAATTTCCAAGAGCCAACATGGAAAATGCAGTTCGTCTGATGTTTGTACCATAAAACAATGCATTTGGCTATTTTTAGTCAATAAATTCAAGTCAATTTTTTCGTTCCATTTAATAAATTTTCAATTTAATTTTTCGATATTTGTTCTATTTATTTTATTATATGTGTTTTTATGTGAAGTCAAATTTATATAAAATGAAGAATTATTAACAAAGAGTACAATGCTGCTTTTATGCAAAACTTTAGAATTAAAGAATAATAATTAAAAGTGTGACTAAACAAAATAAACATGAAAATTTGAAAATTATATAGGATTTCAATAGTACTAGTGGGATTTCAATCTTCCACTTTTGAGAGAGATTTTTATTTCTTTATTTTATTTATTACTTTTTTTTAATAGAACCTTTACTAAGAGATTTATTAATGTCTTTGAGAAATTAAGATTTAATTTTTCTTCTTTACCATTTATAATTTTGTATGCTTTTTCTTCCACAATAATTCTAAATCAATTCTGTGGTCACTGCCTAGTTAGTTAAATATTAAAAGAAAAACGTAGTATAGGATAAGTTATCTTTCTGGATGAAGATAAAAATTAAATCAATTAATCTTGTCACATAATTAATAGGATTGAGTTTATTTTTGAAAATTATTATTTTAGCGCTTAAAGTTAAAATAATTATTTTATTTAGTAGTCAAATCGAGAACAGTTGAACTGATTAAGATGGGTATGAATTTGAATTTCAAAAAAAAAAAATGATTCCATTTAATGCTCGAAATTTAAAACCTGTTATTTTCTTTATAAAATAATCTTTGAAAGTATTGTTTTATTATTGCTTTAGAACGCGTGTACTGCACGGGCTTGGTCTTGTGAGACAGCAAGGCGCGCGTGACGCTTATCGCCTATTCTGCACTGTACATTTTGTACAAAAATTAGTGCAAAAAATTTATTTTAATCTCAGCCCTCCTTTTTGTTACGGAAATCTAACGACTCATATTTATTTAATGAGTTTACGCGTAATTTAAACTAAGAATAGCATTTAAATAGCATTTTCCAACCACTACAAACTGTTGGATTTTCTCTCTCAAGCTCCTATAACGATTTTATCTCTCTAAATTTATTACTCTTTAATCATTATCCCTGTGAGGGACCTAATTTTCCTTGCAAGAAAAATTCAAAGGACTTCTTTTTTTTTTATGATATATATTTTTTTTCATTTAGAAAAAATAGTATCGAGGTATTGAAAACACTTTCAGATTGTAATTTATGATAGGTT